AAAAAACTAAAAAGATGGGACGATTCCCCCGAGACATTCTATGAAGCTGAGGCGTCGAATCGGCTTACGTTACGGTTAGAGATTTCGGCTCTTCCACGCTATCCCGAGTGAACATAAAACTTAGTCTTAACCAAAAGGTCAGGGAGTGAGGGGGTAGCCGCCCACTAGAGCATACCTTTAGCTACCCTCTTAGACCATCGTACTATGAAGACACTAATGGATATCTAATATCTAATTGGGGTAGTCTATTCGGTGAAGTTTTATGCTAATATATGACGTCACTAAAATCCATAGGGAACAGCGAGCCAATCAGAGCTAAGCTCAGGAATTAGCAAGCGATACAGGGTTTGCATATCATTCTTCAGTGGATAATTATTTGATGGGGGTGGGGTGGGTGCCGAATGTTGGTTTGCGGACGAATACTGATTTACTCGATGGAATGTGACGGCTTTCACGAAGTTGTTCAACTGTCGTTATTGTTTTCCAAATCATCACAGGAAAAGGGGTACAGTTCTTATATCAGACAGACATCAAAAGTATTCGTATGAACACCACGAAATTAAAAAAAATCTCTTGAAATTCCTAACGTAAGTGGTTTAGAGACCAGGCAGCCGCTAGGCAGGCTAGCAGATACTAGCTTTTGACAAAGATTTGTCTGGATTCAACAGATCAATTAAAGACCTCTGAAACTCCAACATTACACTCGAACGCTCCACATTTTTGCTCTCTCCTTAGTTTGTTTCTGTTCTTTATGATATAAAAGCTTACAAATGGGTTAATAATAATTATCAAATAATTATTAAATGTAAATAAAATTAATAAAGGATCTTAAAAAACTAAACAATCTTTGGCTTTTATTGCAAAAACTATAATCAGGCGAATTATAGTAAAAAAATACAGTTTGAATGATCTAAACATTTTATCAAAGAAAACGTTCGAGAATTGATCATGAGTTAAAGTCAACAGATACGGAAAGATGTCTTTGACTACAGCTAAATTAAAGCTCTAAGAAATCCATGTCGTCCTGATAAAAATCCCTTTTCCAAATGGAACAGGGACAGGGCGCCCTGCGTCAGGCCTCCACGGGAGGCGGGAATAATCAACCATCACAATAGGTTCCTTGGCCTCTGAAAATCGACGGCTTTTGCCTTATGAAAACCTGTAGATTCTTATATGCGGGTTCTACTGTATATTTTTATATCAGCACCGTGATATATACTGAACTAAATTTTGCCCTATTAAAATCTCTTTCTGATTTATTCTGAATATTTCTATCATTGCAGCGGAAATTCATTTCTTTACTGAATAACCTTGCTCTTAAACATGATTGTTAGCATTGAAATCTGTCCATCGATCCGATAATGCAACATGCTCTCAGATTAGACACTTTTTTCTAAGCATCCCACTAGATTTTGATACTGTACTTCGATTTGCGCTGTTGTCAGTATAGACTTGCTACAAGTCGGACTCTCTCATTTAGACTCAAAAAAAGAAAGTACTTGAAGTTTCTTTTAGGTAAGAAATGAAATAACCCGGAATGTCACAACATCTTTTTGACTTTGGAAAAATAAACCCTTACTCGGGCTTCCTATGTGAAATCCTTTAGCTATTTCGATGATTCCATGAGGTCTATTTATTGATTTTTAGAATTAGATTCTACTACATGCGCTTTCACTTTCTAATCGGATAGACATTTTTTATGATTCCATGATGAGGTCTATCAGGAGCCCATTGCTTCTGGGTCTATTTATTATGATTAGATTCACAATATGTGCTTTCAGCTCCTAATCGGAGGTTTCAGTAGTGATTTCGAAAAAAATTCGTACCGCAGAAAGTTATTTTGGGCATTCCTTGCAAGAAGTATTCCCGGGACCAAAAATGTGTAACCCAATCAGAACACCTGTTATATCACCCCAATCAATGACGTCAGAGTTGTGTTGTATTCATGACAATCAACACGAACTCGATCTGAACTGCCGAAGGGATTTTATTTCAGTGCTTCTACAGAATTATATGTCATTTTGGTCGGATTTAGGGCAATTTTTGTTGTTATTTTGAAACTGAAGGATTGAGCATTTGTTTTGAAATGATGGCAAAAGCTTTGGGTCTCAGCCGTCTTTTCAGAACAAGGTTGAATTCGCCGTTCGCTGCACTTCTCCAGATCCAAACATGGCGGCCGTCACGAACATTAGAACAAGGTATAAAGTCTTATTCTAAATGCATTTGACTGTTAATTTTACTACTGTTTTTCTTCATTTACTAGAGCGTTTTTTCCAAGCTTACTCGCCTGAGCCCTTTCACCCCATAATTGGTAAAACCCCAGTGTGGAAGTCTCCTGATGAAGCGGTTCAAGTCATTCAGTCCGGTATGTGAAAAAAAAATAATCAGCAAAGCCATAACAAGCAGTTTTAAAGCTTGATTTGATGACTAATGGTATTTTTTATTGTTTTAATATAAATGAATATATGTAAATTTGCATTTAATTTTGGCGAGATAAAAGTTTAAGCTTAATTTCACTTTGATGCAAATCTTGACGTTATAAAAACATCGCAGCTGTTTCCTGTGTTGTGTCTCGGTTTTTTAATAGTTTTTGCTAAAGAGGTATTTGAATACTTAATTCAGCTCAACATTTTTTCTGTTCAGGTTTCGATGCTTCTTATAACTAAGAAATGACAATTCGTCTAGCAACACAAAACAGGGCGCGAAAAACGGGAAAAACGTCAGTGTTGCGTGACGAGTTGACATCACATTTAACAATACCCATAAGTACTATTGATATTAAGTGATATCAACTGTCAGTTAGCACAAACAAATCTGGTATTTCCCACTAAAGATCAGTGCTCTGTGTTTTACAAACTGATTGTTCTATTTCTCCCAGGCCTGTTCTTCACAGATTTTTCTCTTTTCTTCAAGCTTTTAATTCCTGCTTCCAGTTCTCCAATTTTTACTTCCCACCCTTTCATGCATCTTACCAGTTTTGATATTTTTTTTCATACAGACATGAAAGTATTTGTGCACAGTGCTGCGGCTACACCGACACCATTAGTGGAAGCAATGGCAAGATGGGGAAAGAAGGCCAACCTATCAAATGTTGAAGTGATTCATATTCACACTGATGGAGCAGCTCCTCATGTCAGTGAAGAATACGAAGGTTTGTTCATATAATTGTGATATTTTTGTATATATTTTGTTTATGACCTTTGATATAATGAAATTCTATTTGATATAAGATATGAAAAAAAAAACCAAAAAAACATAAATAAAGCTAACAAAAACAACAAACACATTTCCAGGATGTTATCAAAGAAAGTAATTTTTAAATTATTTTTATATTTTTTAAATTTTATTTAAGTTAACCTGCAGACGCACTATATTTTCTTCATAATTGAACGTTGTAGCTGTATTGGTGTGTAAGGTTTATAAAATCATGATTTCCCACATAATAATTATTTTCAATTTTTAGGGATCTTTAGAGACAACTCATTATTTATTGGAGGAAACTGTCGTAAAGCTATCAATGAAGGCAGAGCTGATGTTACACCAATATTTCTAAGCGAAATCCCTTTGTTATTTGATCGTAAAATCATGGAACTCGATGTGGCATTGATTCAAGTCAGCCCACCTGACAAACATGGCTTTTGTACTCTGGGACCTAGCGTGGATTGCACAAGATCAGCAATCAAAAATGCAAAATACATCATTGGTATGTTATTTTCGAGAAATATGCTCTTTGCTGTGTCTATTAATGCTTGTCGTTTAAATTTCTTGGAGTAACTACCCTTCTTAATTTCTTTGATATTTGATATTGGAAGGAAAAATAGAAATGAAGATCCCTGTTATAAAAGATCTTGTATATCACATACATAAGGGCAATCTACAGAAAATGCATTGTTTTATATTCTGGATTTTTTCCATCATATTCCAGCCAAGACATTTGGAAGAAAGACAAGACAACTGTCTCATGGCAGACACCCCAGTATTACTGAAAGCCCCTACTTTAAAGCTGACACATGCTATAATAGCACTGTCAGTTATTACGAAAGTTGACTGTTTATATGACATGTTTGTTTGGACTTACATGTAATGTGATTTGCAATGCCTTCCCTTTAGCTCACCTTTTTTTCAAGCACATAACATATAATTTCACATCCAAACCATTGTATCTCTAACCAAATAGGACTTGTGAACCCTCAGTGTCCACGTACCCACGGACCAGGAGGCATCCATCAATCTCATCTTGACTGCTTGACTGTTGCTGATTTTCCACTTCATCAACACAAGCCAGGAGTCATCTCAGAGGCAGATGGGAAGATTGGAAAGCTTATTGCAGAGAACCTGGTTGATAATGGGGCTACTTTGCAAATGGGTAAGTTTGTGAGATTAGGGATTTCTTAGGAGCCACAAGTCTGTGTTTGCATCACTGTACCTGGAATTTTCTTGAAAATTCTAGATTTAATACAGGCAAAGTGATAAGCTGAGTGATAATTTATTTATTATTCCTAGAGTGAACTCATTTAATATTTGAATTTTATAAGCATTTTTGTATTTTATTGTGCAAAATAGTATTAAATCATATGGATGTTTATAAATAATGATGGTGATTCTAAGGATGTTTTACTTCAGCTACAGATTTAGTACAAATTTGTACCATTTAGATTTTGTAAGATTTTCATGATTAATGTGTTCCCTTTGCTATCATTGTTATTCAATATAGGTATTGGAACTATCCCTGATGCCAGCCTTGCTGAGCTCAAAAACCACAAAGACCTTGGCATTCATTCTGAGATGTTTAGTGATGGTGTAGTTGACTTGGTTGAGTCTGGTGCCATTACCAATGAGAAGAAAATCATTGTTCCTGGACGTATTGTTGGTAGTTTTGTTATTGGTACCGATAAGGTCTTTGAGTTCATAGATAATAATCCATTTGTAGGTAAGTATGGAGTAACATTGTAAGGATGAGTTAGGAGATGGTTTATAGCTCTACATTGCCCGATTTCATACAGTGGGAGACTGGGTACAAGTCCCTTAATTCGCACGACGATGAGATAAGACTTATATAGACCGAAAGAATGTATTGAGAAATACTAACTGTCCGAATTTGGCGTCAATCAGTTTAATATTAAACGATTTACAGCCTTTCAAAAACACTTGAATTTCTGAAGAAATGTACAGAATGCCGGACGTGCTTCCGGATTTTTCTAAATTCCCATGAATTTATTTGTAAAATCTAGAATTTTTGAAAAGCTGCCAATTATCTACATTTGAACCAATTAACACTAAACTTTGTCAGTTTCTTATTTACTGTGTGATCTTTCGTTCTATATAAGTCTTATCTCACCATCGTGCGAATTAAGAGACTTGCAGCCAGTCTCCCACAGTATGAAATCGGGCAATGTGGGTGGACCCAGGAGTTTCTTAAGAGAGGGGTGCAGGGCAATCAAGGATGGGGTACACTTCACAAAAAGGCTAAAAATAATGGAAACTCTTTGGAGGGGCTGCATGACGGCTGAATCCACAACTGACATGCATCATACGTAGTCCCTACTTACATTGTATCCTTTACTAGTTGTCCTTGAATATAAAGTTAAGTTTCACAATCACCAGTGCACACAGGCATATTTGCATGCAAATAAATGATTTTTTTGAGTGCTGATACAGTCCATTTTATGATTTTTTAGTGATGATGGACGTTGGATTTGTCAATCGTGTGTCTATTGCCAGCCAAAATCCTAAAGTCACAGCCATCAATTCTTGTATTGAGGTTGATCTTACAGGACAAGTTGTGTCAGACTCTATAGGGACTTACATGTACTCAGGTAAGGGATTTTTGGAAACGTATTTGCTTTTTCTGCTGGAGTTTAGTAGCAAATCTTGCCTGGAGGGGGAGGGTGGTACTCGTATTTGTGTCGGAAAACTTGCAAGTACGATATTGCTAACAACTTTTGTATTTGTGAGAACTTGAAATGGTTTTACGTATATATTTCTTTATTACGAATAGATTTTTCTGCTTTGCTGGCCAGGCCTAATCCTGGCCCCTATCCTTGCGTCAAGTTCGACACAGGCAGTCCAACTATTAATTGAGGAACCTGTATCTTACTCAGGCTATTGAAAAACATAATGACAGTGTCAGTATGGTTTTTGTGAACATTGTATTTGGATTTGTTTCCAGGTGTTGGAGGACAAATAGACTTTCTCCGTAGCGCAGCACTCGGTTTTGACGGCCTTGGTAAACCCATCCTAGCCATCAACTCAACAACAGGCAAGGGACTGTCCAAAATAGTTCCTTTTATAAAACAAGGTGAGTTTGTTATTTCGAAGTCATTTGAACGATCCATCAGTTGAAGGTTTAGTTTTTTTCATTCCTGATTTGTCAAAGTACATTGAACTGAATTTCGGTTTAGAAAATGACCTAGAGGTCGGTTTCGGACGTCAAACTAACGTTTTTTAATACGGACAACTCCTATGATAGTTTATGGGAAATTGTTTTTTGTTTATATTATATTATGACAGGGTATCAGTCATGTGGTACAGCCTGATGTACCTCTCAAAACGTTTAATTAACTATTGTGCATGTTCATGTGATTTAGGAGCTGGAGTGGTGACAACGAGGGCTCACATCCATTACCTAGTCACCGAGTATGGCATTGCTCATCTGTTTGGTAAAAATCTACGACAAAGAGCTTACGAATTGATTCAAATCGCACATCCTGATCATCGAGAAAGTCTTGAAAAAGCTGCTTTTGAACGTTTAAAGTGCATGCCGTCACCAGACTAGAGTTGGAATGATGTTGACCTTGATTTGCACTAAAACTGAGACGACTGGACTGGCCATTTAGAAAGCATGACCTTTGTTTAGTAACTAAGGCAGACTACCATAAAACACAGGTGAAATCTGATTAATTTTATTTACTTTTTGGCAGTTTAGTGACCCAATAAGTTATTGCAGATTGCTCGAGTAAATGTTAGGAGTTTATTTTATTATCACTGGTACATAGACGTACTTAAAAAAGAATGCTGTCCAAACTGAGAAAGATTTTAAAATTAGGTAACACCGATGTTATAATAATTATTATAGGAACTGTAAGTATAAGTAAGTTATACATGAATTATAAAGTAAATAGTATTGTTTATAAAGTAAAGTTAAACTCTTTAAACTAAAGCTTACTTTCCACAGAAAGTCTTGTGAATAAATACTATTCTTAAATAAACATTAAAGTACTATATAGATTCTTCTTTTTAGTTTAAGTCATTAAAATTTGTTAATAGTGAATTCAAAAGTTAAAAAAGTCCGATAAAGTTCTATTCAGTGTAGCTGCATACTGCAGGAGTTACGATTTTCTACATGCTCTTATAAAATTGTTCAGTCTATTCTATTTTTTTCGTCCATTCAGGATTATATAAGTCGAAACTCTATTATGCGTGCTCGTCTGTTAGCGCGCAGTGATGGTTCGCAATGACGTCATACAATGTTCGCCGAGGTGCACTATGGTATTGGTGCAAGTACAAACTGAAGCCATATGGTCGTGTTTTTGGCTGTCGTACGAGCACCAAGCATACTTATTATAGGTCTTCTATAGACTACTCTGATATGCAGTAATCTTATGTAATATTTTACAAAGTATTCTCGACAATGGATAACGTAAATTTCACAGACAAACTACGAGACGTCCGGCATCTTGATCTTGATCATTACCATCATGCACTTCGCCAAAAAAGCATGACGTCATTAGTAAAAAAAATGACAATTTACTTGAACAGTCTATGAACCTCTTCACTTGGTGCTACGTCTAATTTTAACGTCGACCATATCCCATCAACTTCAAATTCCATCACGCCAACATTAACCTGACCAAGGATCTTGCTTCTTCCTATAGTTCTATGCGAGTAGATGCGAAATCGAAACCAACATTTCTTTAAATCGGATCGACAAAATCCGTCGAAGGCAAACTTTTCGTTAAAAATCGGTTTCAAAATGTTCTTTGATGTTGTTTTATGTCGAAATTGCTCAGGTAGTGGTTGTAGTCGAGCATGAACTGACACGGACATGCCGAAGTCAGATCGTTTTATCTCCTTAGCTATGGACTCTAGTTGTATTATTTCAACAAACAGACGACCAATTCGAGAAGAATAAGTAACTGAAACAACTAAGACGGCAGTTTTAGGAGGTGCTGGTGCGTAAAATTCGTCGTGTTTTTCAACGTATTCCTTCCCAGATACAGGAAACATTTGCTCTTCATCGTCCAAATCTGATCTCTCTTCACTGAGTAAACTAGTTTCATATTCCTCTTTTTTATCGCGTCCTTTGCCGCCAACTTTGTCCAACAGTTTGTTCTGGTTGTGTTGTAATACCAGGTAGAGGATAATTACGATAATTAGGCAAAAGCCGAGGACACCAAGAAGAATAATCGCCGGCAATGGAACTGAAAATATCATAAAAGCAAATTATAAAAGTTAGCGATTTTGCTTGCTTCAATGTAGTTGGGCATTGTCTGTCTTTGTGGTCATTTTTAATGTCTTTCTTGTTACGTTAGCCACCTTTGTTTTAAAAATCTATTTGTTGTCTTGTTGGTGTTCATTTTCAAAAGGAACAAAGATTTTTGTGGTTGCGACAACTGCTCTTTTTATGAACAACCACGTGCTCTCTTCAGCCTCTTATTGTTATCTTCTACCGCTGCCAGAGCTAAACTGTCAACAGTTTAGGGGGGAAGCATGCGGATCTACACGAAAGTTCCCTAACTATGCCATATTCTGGGGGGTACCTATCAAGGCCTATCAAAGTACAACAGTTTTGTTTTTCTCCTTGCTCTAGTCTCCATGGAAGATGTTCCTCAGGAATTAATTACTCTAATTAAGTTATACAATTTTAAGATGTACTCCAAAAAATGATCGCTGTAACCTCGTGTCTCAGATGTTTGCAAACTCAATGTGGTTAGGGACATTCCTACCACAGAAATTCTCTGTGTTTGATCATAGTTAAAATAACTATGGTTTGTGATAGGTTGGGCTTGCTCAAAATTGTCTTTTACCTTTTTCTGTCCTCTTGGTTCAAAGTAGGAACTTTTTTTGTTGAGTTCTTTTTAAAAATAGTACTACTGACAAAGCCTTAGAAATTTGCTTTCAAAAAGAGATGTTTCCATTCTGTTTTCAAAAGGTGATGTGTCAAGCTGTAATTTTATGCAGTAAATTGTTTGCTGAGCGTGAAATGTCTTCTTAAATTTAAAAGGTGAATATCAATAATAAAGTTAATCATCTTAAGCGAATTCCTAGTTAATATTTCAAATTCTGTTTTGATCGATAAAAGATCCGTTACATATGTGTTATACACTTTGCGGGTTTTTTTTAGTTTGAAGGCTGATCCGTGGCTGTGCCCAACTCTCCCCGTAATGATATACACTTGGTTAAAAGTAAACATCTAATAAGTTGATGAATCAATAATGTGTAAATGTTTGTAAACGTCCGTTATATATTGTTTATTAAAAGTTTATAAACTTGTTTGCACAATACTCTAAAACTTTGAAAAAAGGTGTTTGCTCCGGGACTTAAACAATCCTTAGCGTGAATGAGTTGATATAAATGACTGGAGCTATAAYGTATATGTTATTTCACTCGTAAAGACATGAACGTTTTAGATTTAGGCAAATATACATCAAAAAACATCGAGAAAGAATAGTAACTTGAAAATTGGCGAAAAAACTGACGATTTGTTGCAAATGCATAAGAATATGTTTACCTTCGAAGTCGTCATCGGTTGTCGTATCCCAAAGACTTGTATGCACACTCGTGTTCCAGTTTGTCAAACGTTTCGCTCGTTGAACCGTGTACAGCCCCATTGGACATTAATTCACGTATGATAATTCTTCAAAATCTAGGACAGTAGTAAGAAACCTTGACCATTCAGGCTTTTTGTAAAATTTATTTGCTCCGGTTTTCCAAAGTCATGTGAAGATTTTTTCTGGCTTTTTTCCATGCAAAGTTCGTTAAACCATGTGGCGCAGACGTTATGTTATTATTCGTTGCGTTTGATTGGTTCTCAGGGAAAACACAGTCCGTTGTTATGTTTTGCTTCATTGACTTAGATTGTTTTGAAGTCTTAAAGTTTTGAAAGTTTTATTTTGTACTTCTAATGACATGGGATTGTTTTGATGGAGAAAACAACCTTGAGCAGGCCTAGGATTCCTTCATAAACTTCATCAATCTGTCAAAATGTAAGATACTTGTTTACATTAAGATATTTCGGTGTTAATGTTTCGACCTTGTGTTTGTTTGAATCACAGCTATTTCAGAAAACGTTGAAAACTTAAGATATTGTACATCAAACCGAAATGCATTGTCGGATTGTTCTATCGCCGTTGAAGGACGTTTTTGTGCTTTCAGATTAACTGTACCAGCTCCGCACAGTCAGTCATTTCTAAACATAGCTAACGCATGGAGTTTTATAGCAACAATGCATTTCGGCCATGGAAAGCGCTATGCAGTATTGAGTATTCAGCGTTTCCTGAGATTTTTGTGCACATGGAGACAAGACAATGCAAATGATTGAAATATTTTATTTCTCACAGAGGTATTTTTAGTTAAATTCCCGGAACTATACCCACCCCTCCCCTCTTAGATAAGTTCAGTAAATAGCTATTACTTGGTAACAGACCATATTATTACCAAAACATTATTAAATACTCGATATAGTAAGTCCGATTGAAATGAAAACTTGTCAAACGAAGTCCTCCGTCCAAAGGTTTCTTAACCGAGCAGTTAATACATGACATACAGAATAAATTATAAATAAAATAGACTGATCATTATATACTTTATATAACAAGAAATATAATGTTTTTTTTAGAACTTAATATAAATTTCCATATTCGACCAAAACATAGTTATGTGTTCTAAAGTCACGGCTGTTGAATTTAAATAAAGTTTCCGTATTTGCGTCCACTCGAATGCGTTTTCGTTGCGATTTTTCATCTCAACTACGCTTAGGATTGGTTCACTCTACGACATAGTGAAAACGTAAGCAGAAACGTAAGAAAATAGAAACTTCCATACGTGTGCTTCCCATGTCACATTTGTTAAGATTCATTCTTACTAATTATCACGTGATTTGTTGAATACAATCACGTGATTTGATAATTTTAACGGTCCCTCAACCACCATGGGGGACTGAGTTGGTATACGTTTTCTTTAATTATCAATCATTATGGCTAGCGTTGTGGACTGATCTTAAACGTGACGCTTTCTTTGCGGCGGGAAGTGAATTAATGATTGATATGCAATCCGTACTTGGGCTTCCACCTCCAGTCGTTTTACTATCACTCGAGTTCATCTTGACCGCGTCTACACGCGCTTTCTTTAACGTATTCTCGGTTTTCTTGAGGACGGCGATGACCGAAATACAACGCTAAGAAAACGCATAATAGGCTCTTTGTTCCCGTCCAATTCATTGAGTTGCGTTGTGTTTCCTCATTGCTCTTTATCCCTTGAGGAAGACAAACATAAAACGTATACGCACCGTATACTAATACGTACGCACTAATACGAACGGCGCGGAAAGTCTCATTCACAATATATATAATAAGTGTGTCCGAGGCGTCGATCTTCTGTCGAGTTCAAGCTCAATAGTCTTCTTCACGGTTCCCTGCGCCATCTTGAAAGGTAGCCATGCCTTTGCATCGAAACCAGACAACCGTTTAGCATGCAATGATAGAAACCTTCTTTCAAACCTACAGACAATTATTAACAGGTATCTATCATTGCACGCTAAACGGTTATTTCTTTTCTATGTAAAGGCACGGCTACCTTTCAAAATGGCGCGGGGACCGTGAAGAAGACTTTTGAAGAACGCTACGAAAACTCACCGATAGCTTACTGGAAAGAGAATTTCCATATTAAATATCTAATATTCTACTTTATCATTTGTGCATGCATTAAATACTTGATAAACCTATAAAATATACTTCCATTGGATACCCTTCTACAATTTATCAACATGATAGCGTTGTCTGATGAGATTTCATTATCGCTTTTTGCTTCGACTTCATGAATCCGTCCATGATTGCTTTTTGTTTTATCACAATTGTTTTCCGTTATCTCGCACGTTTTTAAAACGACTCCAAGATAATTCGTATCTCTTGAGATATGCCATTATTTAATTGAATGTTCGTTGTACTCTGTAGTCAAATTGAATTAATTTTTCTTTTTTTTCATTCCCTCGCGCGGTGATTTTTTACACCTTTTATGATTTCTTTCAAAAATAAAATCTTAAAATTTTGAAAAATAAAATCTTGTTTCTTGAATTTTTCCATTAACTGAAATTGTCTTAAAATAATGACATATGCGTAGGTTATCGATATCCCAATAATCAATGATTAATAATCCATAAAGTCCATTTTGATTTATTCCCATTCCACCATAGGTTAAATTCGGACGAAAAGACTGGACTCACTGCATCATTTCGAATCGATGATGGCTTTTTTCATCTCGTTGGTTGGGACTATGTTTAACCATGTCGTCGCTSCTATATCCTCTAGCTCAAAAGACATAGCGTCCTCGACCGCTTCGCCAAATAGTTTTCCTTTCCCAATGAACTCACTACTGTACGCTCGAAATCGTAACCTCATTTCTTGTAACTCTTGTTTAGACACGTTCTTAACAACCCATCTTTCTTGAAAGCTAGGATTATGAATTGGTTTCGATTTTGTCTTAAATCTCGCGCGTCTCGAAGGCAGCAGTGCTATGTGGACTGCAATCTCGGTAGCGAGACCCATTTGGAATACAATTTGATGAAGTTGTTCAACTCGTATCACTTCGATCTCGAGCCTTTGCGCTGTTGGCGCATACGCAACCGACACTTGAAGTCGACCAAATATATTGCTGCTTACGTTTGGAGGTCGTAGAGAAATGATATCCCCGTAGGCTGACATGGCACGTTGACCCGCTGCTCGACGTCCTTGTGCACCTGAAACAAGGGGGGACATTGGCTTTCTTGGTGGCCCCATTTTCGTTAGGCTGTCACCCCAGCTACTGTACTGGTCGCGATACTGTGACGCGCTTGCTCCTAGACTGAGATCACTTTCGCTCCTCACTCGACCGCTTATACTCTCGAGGGCTGCGAGCGAAAGAGTGTCCCGTCTAGGGGATGCTGTAGGAGGTGTTTTGGGACGTATCACAGGAATTGCGGAGGGCCTTCGTGGTTGTTGATGAATTTGTCCTCTGTGTAACGACGTGACACTCTTCGCCTTGGGTCGGCCTTGAGCGCGTGCGATATAATCAGTGTCGTCTAGCGCTTGGTTTACTTCGGATCGTGGCTGGGAGTGACTTCGAAGTCTCTCCTGGAGCCGGGAACTTGGTGGGGACTCGGCTTGACCCAGCTCTGCATAGTGACTTTTGTCAATTGTTTTATCCTTGTCTTTGTCTTTTGTTCCGCCGGAGCAGCATGAATCAAAGTTGATGAATTTGTATACAATTCCGAAGATTATCAGACATCCGCCAAGAACAGAGAGGAGAATGATCGCAGATAAAGGAACTGTTGAAAAAGACAATAAGACATCAGTAATCGATCGACGAATTCAGAAATGTGGGTACATTGTGAATGGATGAGTCGATGACAAATAAATGTCAATTAAAAGCTAACGGTAGTAAATTTGAATGTAGTATCTTCAAGTCGTTTTGGCGCCGTTCACTAGCGCCATTCTTCAGAAGATGAATTAGCATGAGTGAGTGAAAAGATAAGAAAGCGGGAGATAAAATAAATGAAATAGACAGATGAATGCATAGTTATCATTTAGCAAAATATATAGTTTTGAGTTCAATGCCTCATGCACTTTCTTACTATACTTTGCGAAACGAAACGAAATATTCTGAGTGTCCGACATCCAAAATATTTCGTTTCGTTTAGTTTCGTAAAGTAAAAATTTTCAATATTCAATTGTGCTCAGTGCAATTAAAGTTTTGAACATTTTTTGACGCCAAGAGTGTGTCAACAAGGTGGCAAATTACAGCGAAGAAAACCAGGTTTAATTTGTTTTTTTTTACCGCATTTTAGATTAAAATTTTCAAAATCATTTTTTTGAGTGTGTATAGACAAGACGATGGTGTCAGTACAGTGTGAATATTCCTGTACACTTTAATAAGCCAATTAGCACGCGAGAATTCACAAAAAAATGTGGTTTAAAATAATATTTTGAATTATAAACTCTGTGGACGAATGCAGAGAGTTTTAACTATTAACTAATTATTTTAACTAATTATTAAAATAATTACTCTGACATGAACAGACAGAATTTTTTACCAATGATATTCATTTTATTTAAAAAATAACAACTAATTTAAAGAACAGCGATACTTAACCTTGATGAAATAAACCAAACTCCAATTTAAGCTGTAGCCGGCAGCACTAAGTTTTAAATTGTATTTATGATTTCTAGATTATTTCAAGAATCATGGAAATTCAGATCAAATAAAATTCCCATGATTCCTTTCAGTGGTGCAATCCATAAGTGAGGGCCAACTAGCAGTGAATAAGAGTGAATAGTAGCGATGGATATCTAGATTATATAAATTTTATTGATTGGCAACATATCTAAGGAGAGACTACTTAGACGATGGTTTTAATAGTGACTTATTCTTAATTGCGACTTTCATCTCATTTCTAGAGACATTGACTTCAAACTATACAAATGGAGCTTTTAATTGAGCCAGTCTGAGACATAAACTACTCTACGTCAAATTCAACGATGATTTAAAGCTATCCATGACGCTTTTTCGCATATTGCAGAATCGGAAACCTAGGACTTTGAAGATTTGATTATAGCACATAACGTCCATGTTAAAAATCACTTTTGTGGCTCTTTCGGAAGTATATAATGCGGGTTTATGGAAATTAAAGAATATGAATTTTTATTTTGTATTCTCGTTCATTTTTTAAAGTCCAAAATGATCTTAGTGTAAAAAAAAAACACAACACTTTTTCATATATCCATGGAGAACTTTCAATCAGATATGTGTTGGTTTCTGTAGGGTCGAATTATTCACCAGCTGATCTGGTCTTTGTTGTGCTAGTGCCAAAGGACACGTCATTTGCATGAAAATATCCTCAAATTGTCTATTCTTAAGCTTGAGATCAGCCGAATCCGCTTATTTTTACAACAAGCTATTGTTTATCACTGAATATGGACTTATCATACTTTAAAGAGGGATATCTTTCTCAGCTTCCTTAGTTTCAGACAAAAATGAAAAATGCAGGTGCAAACTAGGCTTTTTCTTGACATACACATGTCAGTAGCTTCGAGTTGGTGGAATAGTTTAGAAWACCATTTAAAATTTTTTAGAAACTGGCAGATACTCTTTTTGAAACTCTTAATTTGTCCATTTTTTTACTTAAAAGTAATTTCAAGTTAATATATAAAAGCTGTCAGAATTCCTGTCGCCCGGGAGGAATTCTTAGAGGTCTTTATAGACAGAATGTGTTAATTTTTTTCGCCTTTCCAATGATGTTTAATTAAGCAAAAGCTGTCAGATTCAAAACGCGCAAACATTTTCATTCTCTTCAATATTAACATAGAAATTCAATTTGTGATTATCAAAATAAAGGCAAATGACGAAAATCATTCAATATTGTAACGGTAAATGTTAGTTTATTTTTATAAATAAATAGTTAACGCAAACAAAATAAATGTTTGCGTCGCACAAAAAAGCGTCCACTGAAGAACGGATTCGCGCTCTTTTCGCCGTTTTAGCGGGAAAACCAACTCGCGCTAAACTTTAATCAATATTTTCGCCTACGCTTTATATTTTCGGATAAAAGTCACGCCAATTTTCCATCATTTTGAATATTTTTGTTTAAGATTATGAATTGATTTGTGTATTTTGTAATTTTAAATATCAAACATATTAGGCGCTTTTTTCATTATCGAAACAAAGAAGCCGCGCGCTTCTTCTGCTCTTGAGAATCGAAGTGGAAAGCGCGCATGGAACTTTGTGGCTGCGCCAAAGCTTCTATATCACTGGTGTTTAATTCTGATTCTGTAATCTTAGATTAAAGATTTTTTGCGCTCCACAAAAGTGCTTTTCATATTTACGCCACAGGAAAAAGTTTATTTGCTTTTTAATCCATTCATTGAGTCATGACGCCAAGGGTCAGAATATTTTTTTCATAAACTCACTTCGAATTATGAATCAACTTCGTTAAAAAATTCATCTTCAAAAAGATACTTTTTTGCAATTTAATAAATAAAATGCTTTGATATATATTTTGGGTAAAATATCTTGAGCAATATGATTTCCGTTTTGAAGCAACTAAGCGTTTCCTTGTTGCCATCTGGAGTCTTAACTGACAAAGAACGTTGCGATTATCGTCAAGAATAAAATCCTTACCTCCGAGTCCTCCTTTTTTTGAAGCTTTTGATTTCTTAGGAGTGGATTGTGCCAGGGCTTGTGTGAGTAGAAGACCGAATAGCAATGCTGATTTGAATGAGCAGATCATTGTGGAGTCGTCGTTTGAATTGACGTTTCAAAAGAAGAAATCGAGAGATTATGGCGCCAAATCCATAGAAGATCACGAGAATTTATCATGAAGCAAAACAGACCTTTTTCTGTTTAATATATCGCCTTATTTAGCGGTTCCTGGCTGTGTTCATGATGAAAGTTCGGTAATTAATGTTAAGACAAACGGTCTGATCGTAGTCATGAATCCACACACCCTCGAAACGCCAGTTGCACTTTTTCAAAGTTTAAACCCGCCAGATGTGATGGTGATTACCATAATTCAAAATAAATCGACCGTCAAACACTGCTAACGGACGCTGGAAGTATGGATTGCGCGACAACAATCCATATCGTAGGTAAATACGCCGTTGACTCTTTGGAATTTTGATCAACATAAATCTCTGAATGTCAAGCTGGTAATTTTTAAAGTCACTTTGAAAAGTGTTTTGTCTTTTTGAAGAAAAGGATTGCATCACCAGCTGTTATGACATTCTAATCGTCCACGCATGGAAAGTCGCAAAATTATTCTGAATGTTTTAATTAGTTGTTTATATCGATGTTGATTCTTTGCTTTTGGATTAGTTTGAAACACGTCTTGAGATTCGTTTGATCTTAGGGACGATAATCTTCTTCGCAAAACAAAGAAAGAAATCGCCAACCTTTGCTCAATGATAGTCCCACGTCAACGCGAAGCCACAACTCAACATTCCACCACATTTTGTCGATTTTAGTCGCGATATGGAACAACCCGCAAATAGATTTGCATTTTAGCTATTCGTTCAAGATGAGAAAGAAAATGGTTCACAATAAATGATTTATTAGCTCTTACACGAAACTCTGAAAGTATTTATYCTCGTTTTTGAGCTGAAATAATGATGTTTTTTTGTTTCCTTCGCTAATATACACGTATTTTACACAGTCTTTTAGCCATTTTTAATTTTCTGAATTTAAAGCAACATTCTTCTTTTTAACCAAATAAACCATATTCAAAGTGAGCTCAAAAAAAGAAAGATTCGCGTTTGTTCTTGTTACAATTTCCACATCGTCTTTATTATAGTAGCGTCCTGTCCTCAAATATAAACAAAACTTATTGCGATTGTGAATGACATAATTGACTTTTTCCGTGGAGAGACGCGAACGTGTTTTTTGAAAGGTGCATATTGATAGTTTTACTCTTCAGTGGAACTTCAAACGCACTCAAATAAACGTCTACTACATGAGGGTGGCTCGTTGTTGACCACTTGCGTTCATCGATACGAAATGTGTATCAGATCCGCAAGTAAAGTGGCATTTATTTCATTTGAAGTAATGAACTAGTAAATTTGAACTACAAAAAAAAAATGTAACCGCGGTAAAGATATATTGGATTACAGTGTGAGAATTATTCGACTTCTATTCGAGTTTACGTCAATTGCGGGCTTTGATATAAGTAAACTTGGTTAAAATATGCTTTTTAAAGCTTTCACTGAAGAGGCAAATTTTTTATCGCAACATCTGAGGAGAATTTCTATCAGTCTCTCTATTATATACTCCTAATTCGCTGATAGATATTATATTTATACCACGTACACGGCACGCAATTTAAACTGAGACACCTGCCAAAAGGTGGGCTGGAAAACAAGACAGGAAATGAAGCAACGAAGCAAGCCTCTTAGTCTCATGCAATATAACGAAGAAACTTTATATCAACTTTGAATAGCAAAATATTCTGTGATGGAGAATTCAAACATTAATAATGTTGTAAATATACTTTCATGTAATGTGTTCAGAGAAAAAGGAAATGTGCAAATCTTTATTGCATTTTTTAAATTATTTATTTAGTATTTAGTCTTTGTTTTAGATTTTAAAAGAAATCCCCCGAAAATATAGAAAGTCAATTATAAACTCAACATTAAAACTATATAATATTGTAATCACTACAAATATTTATATAAAAAGATGAAAGAAGTCAAATTTTGTTGAGGCAGTTTCTTCACTCTATTCTTTTATTTTCTTTATTCGTTCTGCTCTCCATCATTTTTCCATTTATTTTTTTCATGAGTTTCATTAATTTTGTTATGCTCGTGGTTATTCATATCAACCAATAATCGAGGCCTCTGCTGGGTTCTCTCTCACTTGCCAACCTCGCGTTTCTACAAAGAGGTCAGTGGCCAAACTTCGAAAGGTTCTTGACGACTATAATATGATCCAGCGTTTTTAGAAATCTAACATTACTAAATTTCCTAAAACTCCACCATGWTGATGATGTTCTATCCAACCAATCAAGTAATGTGGAAAAACCTGTACAGTTCTTGTGCAAAATGTTGCGGTGTTTGGCCACAAAACATCATTCTTCCTAGCATCATTTTTTTGTCTTATTTGATGCGCAAGGACACGCTCAAATATATGGGAGGATCGTTTTGATTTGCTACTTGTTTATCGTAGTTCTCAAATAGGAGCCTTGCAAACTACACGATTTTAATTACAAATTGAAATTAGTACGTTTTACACAACAAGCTGAGGTTGATGAAGTTCGGCCAGAAAATCTTTCCTCATTCTGAACCAGTGTTTGTGTATCAGGAAACGTCCTAACTCTCAAAGCAATTGCAATGTCCTTCCTTTGGTCTGTACTTTCTTAATTCCATCTAGACTGCAAGCCGTCTAGCTTGTAGGCCCG